GAGGGGGTTGGCGCTTGTCTAAACCGAAAAAAAGAGGCAAGTCCAGCCTTGAAAGTAATTCTTCTTGGGCCTTAAAACGGAGTAGGACAATAGTTAATGACGATTGAAAAAGTGGCACAGTTGTGATACTTAGGGCTTCAGTTTGGCTTGGTGGAAGTTTTAATATTTCCCCTTCAAACCCTGCATTTTAAACATCCCCTGGCCGTTAACTGATTGTTAGCGGGCGACCAAGATTGTGATCCAACTAAACGTACAGTAGTTCAAGTATTGAACTGATAAAAAAAAGAGAAGATAAAATCCATCGAGGGTTTAAGCCTTAGTCTATCCCTTCGGACAAATGGTAGACAAGTTATTAACATTTTTAAACAGTGTTTTGAAGAAATCCATAGTTCTTCGACTAGCCTGTTTCAGGAGTTCGGATAGCGGAGCCGGCGCGAGGTGAGAGAGCACCCCCTAACCCACGCCGTTGCTGTTTTTTTCCGCTCACATCTTTTTGCGCCGTCCCCACGAACTTAAAGCCTGTAGCAGGCTATTCTTTGACTTTTAATAAGGCTGCGGTCCATTTAGTAGAACTTTTAAAAGTGGAATGTACAAGTGTGGCTGTTTTATGCAGATTCGAGCAGGTTACTCCCCGACTGAATCATTTTATTTTTGTTTCCGGTTTCTGACTTCACGCAATACACTGTCACTTACGAAAAGTGTCGAAAACTTTCATGATCAGTTGTTGGGGTAATTTTTTTTAAAGTTCTCTTTAGGTCTTTTTGGCCTTTCAGCCGATCCAACAAGAAAGACTTTGTGCTGATCTTCAACTCTTATTATTTTCTTCTTGATAAAATCTCAATCCAGGAAAATTATGCCATTTCTTCAAAATTTTCGTGGAAATTTTTGGAGACTGTAACTGTCTTTTTTTTCGAACAGGAAAAGAAAACAAAGAAAAAAAGGGAGTTCTTCCATTAATGATATATCACTAAATTTTTTACTTCCTTTTGTTTCGAAGCCTAAACAAATGGTCTACATAATGTTGCTCGTTTCTTTTTGGTAACGGCGGAAAAAGGTATGTGATACCTCGGAAGGTGCCTTTTTTGCCGGAAATTTAAGCCCTTCAAACACATTGTAAAAAAATTAAAACATTTTAAAGTCAAATGTCTCTTCATATTTT